TAGAAGGGGACTTCACCATCATGGTTCTCGACCTATTGGGGCCATCTCTAGAAGATTTGTTCACCCTTTGTAACAGAAAATTCTCTTTAAAGACTGTCCTCATGACAGCCGATCAAATGGTTAGACAAATCGCATAATCGTTAAAATATATATATATAATAAAATAAGGCAGTGTGCAATATGTGTGTGCAGTCATATGTGTCCTTATCGAGCTGAAGATATGAAATGGAATATTTACTCATATTTTTTCATCTTTTTTTTATGCAAAATCCTCTCCCACAGTTAAACCGAATTGAATACGTTCACTCCAAAAATTTCATACACAGAGATATCAAGCCGGATAACTTTTTAATAGGTAAATCCTCTCGAGGAATTGCAGTCCGGGTGGTGATTGTTACTCCGCCCCTAAGTTTGAATTGGGCAACGTATAGAATGTTCCAGCCGAACTTACAATTTGTACATGATAACTTCTTCGTATAAATATGCATGCGCTTTGTTTTTTTATGTCCCTTTTTCAGGAAGAGGAAAAAAAGTTACCCTGATTCATATCATCGATTTTGGACTTGCGAAAAAGTATAGAGATTCAAGATCGCATACGCACATTCCATACAAGGAGGGAAAAAACTTGACCGGAACGGCAAGATATGCCAGCATAAACACACATTTAGGTAAGCCGCCCAGACGAGACGAGATGAGTCGAGGCGATGCCCTTGGTGCGTGCGTTAGTGACGCGCCTCATTAAGAAGCAAAACTCTACCAATGTGCCCACGTGGTGACATGGGTTATATTCGTCAAATGGTTTTCCTCTACATGTTTTACTCATTTTTCCCCCTCCTCTCCCGCCAGGCATCGAGCAATCGCGCAGGGACGATATAGAAGCCCTGGGATATGTTCTCATGTATTTCCTGCGAGGCAGTTTACCATGGCAAGGCCTGAAGGCTATTTCCAAAAAGGATAAATACGATAAAATTATGGAAAAGAAAATATCCACCTCTGTAGAAGTCTTGTGTAGAAATTCAAGCTGTAAGGCGAGAAGAGGCGATCTGAGTTTTTTTTTTTTTTTTGTTTTATGCCTTCCTTTTTTTATGCATCATACAAAAATGAGTTCCCTTTTTGGAGGGGGGAGGAGGATGACGTGTGATCAGTTGTCGTGTGATGTGCGCGAAGTGTATGCTGTACGGATGCAGAGACATCATTTGTGATGAGAAGCATACGTGATCACTCCCCCCCCCTTCGCGCCCCATCATTGCTTCAACCCGAGCGAGCGTGTTATGTGCGCAAATATACACATGGTGTTTCCGCCCCACCCTTTTCCACCCTGTAGTCGAATTTGTAACCTATTTAAATTATTGTCGATCTTTGAGATTTGAAGATAGACCCGATTATACCTACCTGAGGAGACTCCTGAAGGATCTGTTCATAAGGTGAGTAGCGCGACAGATGTTTTGCAGGTGCCATACAGATGGAGCAAAATATATGGCAATTGTTGGTGCAACAAAAGGAGGGGCGGATTATTTTCCTGCCTGGCGCGAGTGACGTTTTGCTCTTGGCGAGCACATATTTTGTGTTTCCAACATGTGACCACATTTTTCCCCCCCCATCCCTTCCACCGCAGAGAGGGATTCTCTTACGACTTTTTGTTTGACTGGACATGTGTCTACGCATCAGAAAAGGACAAAAAAAAAATGTTAGAAAATAAAAACCGCTTCGACCAAACGGCGGATCAGGAAGGCAGAGTGAAGCAAAACTAGCAAAAAATTTCAGCGTCCATTTTGGGAAAAATTAAGTAGCCAAATTTAATACCTACATTAACATTTACCCATGTACAGATATATGCGAAAATGTGATTACATGTATATATATACATATGTATACATATATGTATGCATGTGTTTATGCACGTGTATGTGTGCTGTTTATTTATTTTTTTTCCTTTCCCTTCGCGACATAAAGTGTAGTAAAAAAAAAAAAAAAAAAAAGGAACTCGCGTTGTTTTCCTAATGTTCTTGTGCACTGTTAACCTAAACAAGTTACATCTCTCTCTTCCCCCCCCCCCTCTTACCCAAGTGTGCATGCAAATATATGTGTGTGCATGTTTCTATATTCGCTCTTTACAGCCCATGCGTTGTACAGCCGTGCGTGCGTGCCGGTCGACCACCTACCTGCACACCCGAAGACGAATTCCCCACACGCAGCGCACTGTACACACACACATACACACGCTCTCTGTTGTTATTAATGAATCTCTTCCATTTAAATTTGTACGAATACACCATTAGAGCCCAGTGTATCTCTGCTACTTCCTCATATGTTTCATTGTACACGTTAATGTAATAATCCTTTATGTGATTAATGTGTATAAACTTGTGCGTATGGTATTTGCGCGCAGTTGGGTATTGTATTATATCCCTACGTCTTGTTGATAGGTGGAAGTTGTGTCGTTTCTTTTCGTGTCGTATTCCTTATATGTGTTGGTAGTTGCGCGCCCCTTTGTACATGTATTATGTGCCGCGCACATGTGCCTCTCACACGTATTCGCACTTGTGCTCATTTTTTCCCCCCCTTTTTTTTCCCCCCTTTTTTCCATGTTTTTTTAAAGAATACGTTATGCGCATGTGTATATGTGTGAGCAGGCCTCTGCCGCTACAGACGGGTGTCCACACATATGTACATGCTCTATACACATATATACATGTACATATATATATATATATTGACATATACATATATATATATAGAGGCGCGCATATGCACACCTCTGTTTCTGCACACACATATATTCCTACGCATGCATATGTACGTACGAATGTGTGTGTTGTGCCCCCCCCTCCCATAGGCCTCTACAAAAAATGGTCCATGTCTACAATACACAGTGTTGTTTATACACACACCGGTGTGCGAATTTAGGCGAACGCGCGTGTGCGTGTGTACAGTATGTACATACATACGTGCGTATATAAACACGTATATAAATGCATATATATATGCGGACAGTTCTGCGAATAATTATGCGAATATATTTATACATATATATACTCATATGTGCATACATGTGTGCATGTGTTGTATATGTTTTTTAACATTGGATTATAATTTTAAGTGCAAAAAAGAAAAAAAAAAAAAAAAAAAGAAATTAGAAATACTTAAAATGTTATGTGATTCAAGATGTATATTTTTCCTTCTTTTTTTTTCTCCTGTTCTTTTTTTTCTTTTTTTTTTTTTTCTATATCTGCATTTATAAGTTGTAGTTGTTTTTTTTTTTTTCTTTTCTTTTTTTTTAAACATTATTATTATGCCCCTTTTTTTTATTATTATTATTTTTTTTTTTTTTTCCCTAAACCCTTTAAACATATGAAATATTTATTTTTAAAATTTTAAAAAAAAGTATAAAGTATAACATTTTAGAAGACACAAGTATTTGCGCCTTATGCGAAGGCCGTGCAGGGCACGCTGCGTGTTTGCCCTCCACAAGGGGGAAACAAATAAGGGGACAAATAGACCAAGTGAGGCGATAAATAAACCGATAAATAGGCCCATACGTATGTGACCATATGGATAATGGCGTCCGCCATTTCACTTTTCCCCCGATAGGGACTTTTTACACGCACCTCTTGGTGAACATACCCCACTGCCTTAAACGCGAAGGGGGCAGGCGCGTGGCAAATGTGACTGTAAACACAATATAGGGTGTGAATATTCCTTCGACCCATGCGCGCATAAAACGCAGGGGGGAAGTAGGAAGAATTGTTTTGTCCTCTTTGACTTTTTCTTTTTACAAGGATGGTATAAAAATAACTCATTAAAGTGGCCCCCAAAGACGTTTTAAAAATATTAAAAAAAAAATAATAATAATAATAATAAATAAATAAATAAGCTAATAGAAAAACGAACCAAAAAATTACATACATAAATAAACAGATAAAAGAATAAAACAAAGCGGGCTAACCTGCTGTGGAAAAAGTTGCCATGTTATTGTCCCCCGAAATGGCCTCCCCTGCGCATTTAACGAGGAAGAGGGGCGCATAATAATGACTTTGTGCCTTCTACCTTTTTCCTGCCCCGTTCGCCGTCTCTCTACCCCCCGGAAATGCACTATACACGTACTATATGTATTATACATATGAAGCAAGTACAAGCTTATTTTCCCGTTGTACCGACGCGCATGCCGCAGGTACCAAGAGCCCTGGGTATCCTAAAAAAAAAAAAAGGTAGCAATTTCACAACGTGCTAACCGGAACATTGAAACTTCGTGCTGGGGGCGTTTGTATACCAATACAATACCGTGTATTCCCCCCCTCACCTATACGTTCTCTTGCCAAAAAAAAATGTGAGGCAATTTTTTAAGGAAAATAATAATCCTGCGCGGTGAGCAATATGACGATGTGAGGAAAGGGCGGCCTCCCCGTTTTGTATTCCTTATGAGACCCAATTTATGTTTTTTTTTTTTTCTTTCGCCCCACTATTGCGGGTGTTTCACGTTAAAATCTACACGCGCCCTTGCAACTTATGATGGCCTTTGTTCATTTTTGAAAAGAATAAAATTAGCTTCTCCCCATCTGGGGTTACAAAATAGGGCATTTCTTATTCGTTTCTTTTTTTTTTTTTTTTTTTTTTTTTTCCATCGCTTCGTAAATAATAAAGGGTCATGTTAGGGGTAAACTCCAACCGTATGGGAGTTGGGAGAAATGACCTTACTACCTCTTCCCTTTTTCTTACCTTCTCTAAAGGCTTTACTATGTACTATAGTCCCCTTCCTTTTTCATTCTCCGTTTGGCCATTGTGAGCACTTTTTTTTTTTTTAGTACATTTTTGGCTTAAGGGACGTAGAGAGAAGTTCCTTTGCAAAAAGTTACACTCCTGAACGGGTCACCCGAACATACAAAACGGAGTACATCGAAGCAGACTGAAAAGGGGGAAAGCGTTGTCCCGCCCCGTACACGACCCACAAGTGTACGCAGACGTAACGTTGTATCCCTCATTTGACATACCCCCTTTCCAACATGAGCGATGCGCAAGAGAACGCGTCGGACATTTGCGTGCTCGATGTAATAAAATCCCATTTTGAATCGAAGAAATTTGAACATGTGCTTAAATTAACAAAGAAGATTTACTCCAATGAGGAGTATGATGAGTACGCGCTGAGGGCTAGGTACTACTGCCTGATTGAGAAGGGGGAGTTCACCAAGCTGGTGCACGAAATTATGCACACGCTGGTGGGAAGTGATGGAGCGAAGAAAGCTACACAAGGTGGTAAAGGTGCGTCTGCGATTGGTAACAGAAATAGAAGTACATTTAAGGACCTCTTCCAAAAAAACTATGAATGCATTAAGAGGAAAAATGTTCTATTCGAGCTCTTCTATTGTATGTACAAATTAAAGAAGCTAAAAAAACTCAACGGCTGTTTGAAGTACGTGGCTGAGAAGGAAAAGACGTTGCCCCAATTTATTGAAGTACTTTTGGCAGAGGTAAATTTCAGACTACACCATTTCGAAGCGTCCATTGGTTGGTACGAAAATTTGCTGGAGTGTCAAAATGCCAAGCAGGCAGTGGCGGCCTCCATTAATGTAAACAGCGGCTACTTCTCCCTGTACCTCAAACTATTATATGAGTATAATTTTTTGCGCAGTGTTAACTCGAGGGTCAGTTCTGATAAAGCGAAACAGAAAGACATTGAAGAGGTGAAAAATCAAATTGTAACCAACACGGATGGTTTCAAATACGATGAAGAAAGGGATAGCTTTGAGCAAATATTTAATTATGCTACTTTTTTTATAATTGAAAAAAATTACACGGAAGCGATAAAATTTCTTGACTTGGCAGATGCCATATGTAGGAGTACCTTTGTTGGGGGAAGCGGCTCTAATTCTGTGATCGCTGATGGGGCGGAGGACCTGGACCATGAAAAGGGCGACGACATGGATGACCAGGGGGATGATGAGGGGGGTAAACTAGGAAGCCACATAGATCAGGGGAAAAAACGTTTAAGTGATAACAGGCCCAGAGTTTCCTTCTCTGGGGAGGACATACTAACGAACAAACGGACGCTCGTTCAGTTACAGAGGGCTTATGTCTACTCCAAATCGAATCGCCTCAAGGACGCCATCGAAATATATGAAAGTGTCTTAGAGAGCTACGTGGAAAATGGGCAAAGGGGGGACGCTGCACATATTGATAACGTTATCCCTCTGGTGGCGTACAATAACTACCTTGCCCTGAGGCATAATTGTGAAAGTCCAAGTGTTCGCCATGTGAAGCCCAAGGGGAAGAGCGCCCCCGGGTCGGGACATCCCCCATCAGGACAAACACCCCCTGCACACGCGCCATCCGCACATGCAACATCCGGATCGCCTCTCAACTTCACCCTCACCCAGGACAAATTGAACAAAATCAAAAATGACCTACGAATGAGTAAAAGTAGTTCTCACAACCACGTAAGCCAATTTATGCAATCCATAGCTCTCTTCAACGAGTGCGTGTACAGTCTGGGGAATGACCAGAAGGACGAATTCAAATCAAAGTTGAAAAGTTTTACTACACGTTTTGGAAATTCGATACTCCTAGATAAATTAATAGCTCTCTTTTTAAAAAGCGAAATGGCACACGTCAAATGTAAGCACCACCTGCTGAAAAATATTCATCTGATGTACTCCTATCAAAACAAAATAAAATTTCTCAACGCATACTTATCCTTATGTTATGAAAAAAAAAGTTTTACAGAAATAGTCAAAATGTATAGGAAATATGAATATGTGTTTAAGATGGATGCCCATCATTATCGCACCTTTTTTTCGAATTTATTTTATGTTTATATATGTGCTCGTTATGGAGAGGAGTCCCTTCCCGTGGTGGGGAAGAATAATGCCTCCGTAAACAGCACTCCTATCAAGGGTGCCGACGGTCTCGTCGCACCGCACAATCTCAACCTCGTCATCGACCTCTTCAACAAATACAAGCAAGCTATTAAAACGGATATAAAAATTGTTAATTACCAGACGGTCTTTCTAGTTAGCAAATATTTATTACAGCATGGCAAGGAACAATTGCTCATGGATCTGTTTGATCATTTGTCCAAGCACGTAAAAAATGACTTCAACTTTTTTTCTTGCTTCACTTATATATATACCTATATTAATATGGAACATACACGTAAATACGAAGATAAATTGAAGAAGGCTGTCCTAACCGAGACCTATCTTATTGATGTAGAAGATTTGGAGAATAAAAATTTCTCTCTGGGATTTTCCTCCTCCATGGCTACTACTACTATCCCTGCTGGTGGAAACGTCCATACCGCTTCCCCTTCAACAATGCCCATAGATAAGAATAAAAAAAAACGAAAGAGATCGAAGAAGACAAAGAATAAAAAGGATGGGGTGGGTAACCACGCTGGTTACGACCCAGAAAAGTGGCTTCCGAAACATGAGAAGAGCGGATTCAAGAAGTCCAAGAAGAAGAAACAGAAAACAGCCGAGGCCGCGCCCAAACAGAAGGTTATTGTCCTGGAGCAACCCAAGAACAACCCAGACGGCTCCTCAAAGCTGCAAGGGTTGAAGAAGCGCCGCAAAAAGTGATTTGGAGCAGGAAGCGGGCCTTTTCCACGCAGGCTTCCATTGTACAACTGCGCTACCCACATTGAACACAATTTTTCAATCATGCTATAATAAACTCTGCGCATTTGCGCCCACTATACTGTCCTTCGCTTTTCCCTTGCCCCCACTTCGGGCCTCACACACTTACCTAAAGAACATAATTAAAGAATAGTTATCATCACGCACATGCGATGAATGATATAGTTTTTTTTTGATAAAATGTATAACTTGCGTTTTTTAAAAAAAAAAAAAAATGTGTTGAAAAAACCGGCAGGGAAAAAGAGAATACTCACCCTGAATTTTTCATTTTCGAAAAAAAATTCCATTCGTGGGACGCCGCGGGGGTGTCTCCTCCAGCATCTTTTACAAGAACGTATAAAAAGCTTGCGGAGCAATCAATCAGGTACTTGCACGATGTCCTGTACGTGTGGCATCCAAGTAGCGTAACCCCTTATATACGCGTTGTAGTAACCTCATACACACTCGTCCGTCTGCCCATCATCATGGCAACTCAACTCTCGTCGTCGTAGTCGATGTCTCCGTAGGCCCAGATGACGAGCTTGGCCTTCTTCGCCACCACCTCTTCCTTCTTGAGTTTCTCAAATATCTTGGTGTCACTGCGGTTGTCCACATAGCAAATGCCGCTGGAGACCATGTCCTCATTCACACTCTTGACATTCTTGTTCGTGGTGAACTGTTCGTAGTCGTAAAAAACCACGTGGTAAAAGGAGCTGTTCTTTTCCTTCTTTTCAAATTTGACATACAAAAATTTATCCAGTAGAAATTTCTTCACATAGATAATCAAATCGGCTTTATTTTCAACCGGAATTTTAACCCCAGCTAAGGAAACCCTTATGCTGAATGGAGGATAATTTTTTAAACTCAACCCATCACTCAACTTTTTAATATCTTCAAAATTTAACTCATCCTCATTTCCAAAATCGATATACTTAACGAGGGCTTTCTTCTTCGCTTTATTTACTTGTAGGATAACTGCTCGGTAGTAACATTTATCTATGTACTTGGCAATGACTAGGGTGTTTTTTTTAACTTCTGGCAGCACATGCTGAGATGAAGATTCTAAGTTGGCTGGCTTGTTTAGCTCATCTTGTAATTTTTTTAACTGATCCTGTTTGCTCTTCAGCTGAATGTAAATATTGTTTATATCTTCCACGTAGGAGCAGTAATAAATATTATCAAATTGGGATAAATTTTTTTGTCCATTGAGGATAACATTATCTGTGTCGTCTTCATTGTCTTCTATTTTTTCAATGGCCCAAATGTTTCTCTTTTCCTTCTTTGATTCCTCAACAGCTTTCACGTAATTGTTTCTTTCATTCGTGTTACTTAATCCTATTTCGTTAAGCATTCCATACCCTAAACTCAGTAGGTGCAAACCAAAGTCCTTATTCTGGTGACGTAAAATACCTATGAAATTTCCTCCCTTATCACATGATAAGATGGTTATTTGCACATTTCTCTGCATGAGCATTTTTCTTGTATATTTGTAGGCCTGAAAAGCTATTTCCTTCAGCTCCAATTTTTCTTTCTTGCTAGACTTGCCATCTCCATTCAGTATGATCTGTGCATCGTCGCCATCATACTCTCCTACTCCGTTAACTTTTTTCATTTTCATTTGGCCAGCTGCGGTACTCATCATACTTCCAATTTCTTTCAAATTAATTTTCTGCACAGAGATACCTAGTAGGATAAAATTTATTAACAAATTCTGCGAAGGGATATGTAGCTTGAATTTGTTTGCTCCGTATATATAATCCACACATGCGTTTAAATTGTTATACTTGTTAAGGACATTCTCAAATGATCTGGCTCGTAAGGAGTTTTCGCTTCCACTTATATTATTAATTTTTATAATATCGATGTGTGGGTTAAATCTTCCAAGCTTCTTCTCTTGTGCTTCCTTTTCTAATTCTTGAAGTCTGAAATAGTTACTCGCCTTTTCGTCCTCTTGTTTGTGGTTCATCACTTTGGCTAATCCTCTAGCCACGAGTTGTTCGCTCATGTTGATCAGCGTGTGATCGTGCTCCTCGTCCATGTGGGCCTCCGCATTGCCATTCATCTTTGCACCCTTCTTCACACCCGAACCGTTTCCCTCACCACTACTAATAGCGCCCCCTTTCTTGGCGTTTTTTTTCTTTTTTTTCTTCTCTTCTACATCGCCACCCCACTTACTACTAGTCACAGCTGCATCACCTTTTTTAATGTCCTTTTTCTTATTCTCCATTTTGTAGACGCTAACAAAATGCATCCTTCCCTTGTCATCTGAGCATTGCGGGATGTACCCCTCGCTATTGCTCTGTGGTGTTCTCACATACTCCGTAACAATTTTTACCACCTCACCCGTAATTTGATTCTTCAAATAATCCTTTGCCGATAAGCATAAAGTGTTAAGAACCAAATCAGTGCTGTGCTTTTCACACTTGATGGAAGCCATATACAATCTCCTTTCCTCATTGTGATAATCTATAATGATAACATCTCCATAGAGAACCTCAATAACCGTCGCAAAATACTCCTTTTCATAATCGACTTTTTTCTCTGTGTAGTTTATCCACTTCTTCTTCCTCAGCTGTATGGCTTCATCCAAAGCCCTCTTATACTCGACAGCATTCTCTACATACTTAATGGTGTACTCATTAATATACGCATAGCCATTTTTCAAAAGGAGAGTACAAATATTTCCTAGCTTGTAAAACACATTTGCATATAAATTGCAGTTGTTGTCCATGTGTTTGATCACAATTTCAATGTCTCTGTTTAGTAACCTGGCTTCAACAAACTTTTTTGTCTCCATGGCATACTGTTCCTCTTTCACATTTTCTACATTGTTCACAACTTCCTTTTTAAACATATCAACTATGATACCACACAATGTGAAGGAGAAGTAGTACATGGTTTTGTAACCCACTGCTCCTTTTCCCACCTCATCAACATCACTGTCTCCTTCTCCTCCTCCCTCTTTATTTTTTTTTTGAGTTTTTTTTCCACCTGCGCTTTTTTTCTTCTTCCCCTGTGCTCCACTATTACTTTCTCCAACAGCTCCATTTTGTAATCCACTACCCCCAACTATGCTCATCATGTTAGCTTCCCTCTTCTCATTCGTTTCCATCTCAGCATAGACACGAAAGTTAGATCCATCCCTCACATGTTCAACAACGCACTTCAAATTTCTGTTTAAAAACATATCGTATATTTTTTTATTTTGATTTTTGTCATTATAGGAGTATACAATATTCCTAACATAGCTGTTAATGTTGTTTCCAAATATGCCTAACTTTTTTTCCTTTGCATGGACGTAGTAAGCCTCCAAATCAGCATATACATTCGTTTTAACATTCTTGTTGGAGACCAGATTAGCGTAACCCCTCTCAAGTAACATCACTGATAAATTTTGATCCTCGTAAAATACACTACAATACGTTCTGTTGTTATAAATATACTCTACTACAAAACTCACATTTTTGCCAATGATCATTTTACGAATGAATTCTCTGCTTTCCCATGCGAAAGGCTCTTCACTCTTTTCTGCATTTTGACTTTTCATGAACAACCTGGGGCATTGGATGCACGCCAAGCTAATTTGTCTTTCCTGTGCAACGCCACCTATGGATCAGGATGGGAAATGGATCAATATAAAAGTGTATGCGTAGCTCAAATGGAGAAGAGGGGTACAAACTGGGGTGAGCCGTGCTGTAACTGAGCTACATATATACATGGTTCACACATTATTTCTGCATATGGGGGGGTATAGTAGAAGCCTCATCGGCACACATCAACAAATGCGTATAAAGGCATGCGGTTCGCACATTAGTACTTCTATACATTCACGCGTGCGTCTGCTGTGGCCCATCCTACTTACCCTTTTTGGCGCCAGCCAAAATGTAGGTGTCCGCTGACACGACCTGCTTTACGATCCCGTTCAGTCTTTCCATTTAGGTTACAAGTATATTCTGGAACATAAAATGGAGCGGCGAAGGGGACCTTTCGTAGAACTGTGTCCAAGCCTATATAAATATGTGCCTATACCTATATAATTGTATCCTTTTTTTTTTCTTTCTTTCTTTTTTTTTTTTTTTAAAGTAGGCTCAGATAGGGTGAAATGACTACTCTTGTTTTATAGTTCCCTGTTCAAGCGAAAGCTACATATTTGCCGCGTTGCCAAGTTAGCGATTAGCAAATTGATTAATTTTGTTGCGTATTCCTGTTCGCGCGAATTTTTTGATGTATTTATAATTGTTTAATACAATTTTGTTCACTGTTTTGCTTTCCCTTTGCTATTATTTTTTCTTGTTACTTTTGCTGTTACTTTTTGTTATTGCTTTTTTTTTTTTTTTTTTTTTTCCCTTTGTTTTCCTTTGCGCACTGCTGTTCCCTTTGTAGATGGCTCTAGAATGCTCTTCGGTAATTTGCACGTTGAACACGTGTTTACTGACCGGCATGTAAACCTCTCTTGGCATAATGCCTGGAGGGACACGGGGGGGAGGGGGGGGGAAATGTCGATGAATGCGTTTGCAATTGGCACAGTTCGATGTATTTTGTTTTTTTTTTTCCATTCTATGTATTTTTTTTTTTTTTTTTTCATTTATTCTCCCATTTGCTGCGTTGCAAACGAAAACCATCTCTCGTGCCTACATAAATGCGGCATGCCATGCAATTGCATATCCAATCCTATCTTATCCTGTGATATGCTCCTTTTTTTTTCGACGTTCACATGTACGTACCTACGCGCGTACTGCCTTATCACGTGCCCATGTACTCATGTGTAGGCTGGAGCGTCCACCTCTCGCGTTCCATGAACATAAGAAGGAAAAGGTTTTAAAACAGGGCCACAATATGTAGGCACCTGCACGTGTAACCTACGAGTACCTACCAGTACACACGTTTGCTTTTCCATTTCCTTTTGAGCACATGTATACATTCATATATGGATATTCCCCCGGTTCCATTTTTTCCCTTGTTCCTAATTGATGTTGAGCACATGTGGAGTAGGCCGTATTACGTCCCATTTGCAACTTCGACATTTTTACGCTCTTTCTCACCGGGCGTGTGGGGGGCACCTACTCAGATTAATAGTTGCATGTATCCTTGCTCCCAGCGGAATACATATAGAGGGGTACACGTACTCATAAGTGTAGATGACATATGTGGCGGTACAACCCGTATGTGCATACAGATGAACATTGTTTGTGCCCCTTCCCTTTACCTGTGTAAACCTTGTAGGGTGCACGCGTGAGCAACGCTGAGCTATTTCGCCCCCGTAAGCATAACCCCTAATATATTTTTCCTTCACTTATACGCACAATACATCAAGTTTCTTCACAGGGCTTTGAGAAAATATGCACGCGAATATTACCTAAGCGTGACGAGTGCCATTCTGCGCGTGAGCCCCAATCAATCAATTTTTTCCTTTGAAGGAAAAAAATAAAAACACAATTTTGAAAAGAGGCCACCTCAAAGCAATCATCTCATAAGTGAGCACTTAAAAGAGTGACGTAAATGCAGCCAATTTTACACCCCCCTTACGCAATCGTCATCACTCATAAAAAAAAAAAAAAAAAAAAAAAAAAAAAAAATTCAAACCATCATTATTTACG